GTGGGGTCGCTGCTGGCCCACAGCAGCGTGTGCCGCCAGACCATGGTGTCCGCGGGTTTGCGGGACGACTCAGCGTCGATCGTGAACCGCCGCAGCAGGTGGCGGCCAAGCGTGGCGTGGCAACACAGCGGCGGCAGGTGGTGGCAAATGGAATGGACCCGAAATACGCGATCTTGCCCCCGAACTGCCGCTTGCCACCGCGCAAGACGGCCGACAGCAGGTAGCATGTGCAGGGGCCTGGTGGGCAGGGATGGGCACAGGTGTGCATGTGTGTGTGTGTGTGTGTGTGTGTGTGTGTGTGTGTGTGTGTGTGTGTGTGTGTGTGTGTGTGTGTATGTGTGAGGGGGGGGATGGAGCGCGCACGTGCGCCTGCATGTATGTGTGAGCCTGTATGTGTGAGCCTGTATGTGTGTGAGCCTGTATGCGTATTTGACCGGGGGCGCTTATGGTGTTGGTAGCAGAACACAAGCCGGAGCCGGGATCAATGGGGAGATGGGGGAGCGATGGAGGGGGTGTGGGCTTCTTTCGCGTCTCTGTCGCGTCCGCCACACAGAGAGGTTGAGGCAGGGGGGCCCGGCACGTGGCTGCACGGACACTTCCCCGCCCAGCCCTGGCCAAGCGCCTCACCAATGGCGCTGATGCAGACGGTTGCGAGGAGGTCAGCTAAGAACACCAGGCGGGCGCCGTCGCCGCGCGTGTTGGTCATGGCCATCCACAGGGCCATCAACATCTCCCGGGCGGCCGTCGCGACAGCGGAGCCCAGCATCACGAGCATCAGCATCACCAGCTGTTTTGCGCTCAGCGTGTCATCCACGATACTGGCCTTGGGATTAGGTGGTCAAGGGAGGGGCTGACATTTGCACATGAAGCGCCTGGCGCTACAGCTATTCAGGAAAGACAAACAGCGCCTTGCAGCAACCCTTCTACGCCCCGCAATGAGGGTGGCACATCAACCGGTACAGTAGCAGGAGGCAGGGTGATCAGCACCCATGGCCTGTCAAGCATTCAAGACGCCCTCTCCGGCCACGCCTTTGCAGGCACCTGCGGGTCGCGGTCGTCCGGGCGCTTCCCCTTGTCGGGCAGCGCCTCGCTCTTGGCCAGCTTCTTGGCAGCGGCGTACTCGGGATTGTTGGCCAGCAGGGCAACATGGCCTTTTTGTTGGCCAGGATGTGGTCTCTCCCCTCTCTCTCACAGCACCCCCGCCTTTCTGTTGGCCAGGATGTGGTCGTCCCTGTACTTCTCGGTCAGCATCACGTGGATCTGGCGGAGCGGTGAGGGCGCCTGGCAGCACCGGCACGGGGATGGCTTTGAGCAGCGGCTGTGACGTCACGGCTCCAAGAAAAAAGGCGAGATGGGCCCTCACAGCCAGCCGGCCGATCACAGCGACAGGCGATGACAATGTGATCACAAACGATGGGAGCAAGCCATAGACAGTAAGGCGCGGCGCGCGTACGGTGCGACTCTGGCAGGGGGCTCGCCCGAGGCAGGGTGGTGTAAGAAGTGTCAGCAGCTGGCGATGACTAAGATTGTGCTTCAGCTTTGAAACGGGTCCTTGCTGTAAGCAAAAGCTTTGTGGAAGTGAAAAGCGGGAGTCCACGGATCTGAACCTTGATCATCCGCGGGATGTTGGAGCGAAACGTCGTACATGAATTCCTCGATCGGTTCGGTAGAGTGCCAGAGGATGTCGCAATCGCTCCAGGTCCGGTTCGCTGCAGCTGCCCTGACCGCCGCAAGCGCAAGAGGTGCCGTGCCAGAACAACACGTCAGACGCAACCCATCAACGCTGGCCGCGCAGGTCGCGTCAACCTTATTGGAGAGCACATTGACTATGAGGGCTATGCAGTGCTTCCCATGGCCATCGAGCAGGCATGCTGCGTCGCCGCGGGCCGCTGCCCTGTCGACGAGCGGGCGGCAGACGCGGCAGGCCCACGCGGCCGGCTGACAATAGCCAATGTGGATGGGGCGGCTTACGCAGAGGCCGCCTTTGAGCTCGGGCCGGGCGGGGCGCCGCCGGATGTGAAGTCTTGCGATGGGTGGCACCGCTACGTGCTGGCTGCGGCGCATGGCGCGTGGGAGCACCTGTCAGGCGGCGCCCCGGCCACGGCGGCGGCCGCCGCGGAGGCGCGGCAGGGGCCCGGCGGCGCCTCAAGGGGCTTCGGTGGGCTGCGGCTGATGGTTGGCAGCACGATCCCCGCGGGTGAGCAGGCGTGAGGCCCCCCGCTTCAGCCTGCTGCAATTGGGTATTCGGACAATCCGTCATCAGTGAGTCCACGGGCAAGGGTCAATGCTACGTGGATTTAGAGGCGGCCGCAGCCTGATGCTCACTCCGGTGGACGAGGGCGCCGGGGCCCGCGCGCGGCACGCCGCTACCGTCCTCTCCCACCCCAGTAGCGGCCGGGCCCGCTGCCGCGCGCGCGTATGCCTGTGTGCGCGCAGGCTCGGGGCTGAGCAGCTCGAGCGCGCTGGTGGTGGCGAGCGCCCTCGCCCTGCTGGCGGCGGC